TATGAGTTCTTATATATTTTGGAAATTAAACCTTTGTCAGAGTTACTATTTGCAAGTATCCTCTACCATCTGGTTGGCTGTCTCTTTGTTTTGTTATCCTTTTCTTTTGTAGTGCAGAAGCTCTTCAGTTTGAAATAGGTCCCATTCATTTATTTTTTTTTTACCTTTACCTCCCTTGCCTTTGGGGTCAAGTCCATAAAATGTTCTCTACCACTCAGGTCCCTAAGTTTGGTACCTATATTTTCTTCTATGTAACTTATAGGTTCGGATCTTATATTTAGGTCTTCAATCCATTTTGAATTAATTTTTATACATGGGGACAAACCGTAATCCAGTTTTATTTGTTTGCATGTGGCTTTCCAGTTTTCCCAGCACCATTAATTGAAGAGACTATCCACCATCTTTATTTTATATATTTCTGTGATTGTTGTTCAAATCCTCCAATGGTATGTTTCTTTCTGAACCCATCAGAAACTCTAAAAAATAAATAAGTAAAGGTGTCTGGTCCTTGCAACATTTTGGTTCAAATACATTGAAACAATGTATTTGTGTTGATTCTAATTTGTGTTGACTTGAATGAGTCTGAAAGTATATACTTAGAATAATTTTATATGTGTTATTTTAAAAATAATTAATAGACTTAATTTTTAGTACAGTATTAGATTTACAGAATAATTGAGCAAAGAGTACATAGAGTTATATGCATCCACACCTCCCCCACCCACCCACACACATTTTCTCCTTTTATTAATATCTTGTATGAGTGGTACATTTATTATAATTATTGAACCAATATTGATATTATTATTATTATAGTCCATAGTTTACATTAAGGTTCACTCTTTGTGGTGTACAGTTCTATGGATTTTGACAGAGATATAATGACATGTATCCACCATTAAGTTTCATACAGAATAGTTTCAGCAGGCTAAAAATTTCCTGTGCTTCACCTGTTCATCACTCTCCACTCAAATCCCTGGCAGCCATTGTTCTTTTTCTCTTTCTACACTTATGTCTTTTCCAGAATGTCATATAGTTGGAATCGTACTATGTGGCCTTCTCAGACTGGCTTCTTTAACTTAACAGTATGAATTTAAGATTTCTCCATATCTTTTGATGGTTCGATGACTCAGTTATTTTTATTACTGAATAATATTTCAATGTATGGATGTACAGCTTATCCATTTACCTATTGAAGGACATCTTGATTGCTCCAGTATTGGCAAGTATGAGTGAAGCCTGCTATAAACATTCTTGTGCAGGTTTTTGTGTGGACATAGGTCTTTAACTTAATTGGGTAAATGCCTAGAAGTGGGGAATTGCTGCATCATATGGTAACAGTAGCTTTGTAAGAAGCTATCAAACTGTCAGTGTATGTGTTTTTAAGAATTAATGTTTGGAAGAATATACTCTAAATTATTCACAGGAGTTAACTCGGGGATGAGATTAGGAGGGAGGGCGATTATAATCTTTCATTTATATTATTTGAATTTTTAAAAACAATGTTTTGTAGTATTTTTTACAAGTACATTTTTCGCCAAATGTTTTATTTAATTACTAGTAATAAAAATGGAAAATAAATCAACATAAATGAAAACTAGTAGATCATTTAAAACAGTATATGATCAGTTTCATAGCACTTCTAAGTTGCAGAGGATTTTAATATTTTATTCTTATTTTTTAAGTAAAGAGAATAATAACCTTCCTACAATCATAATTGTGCATTCAACAAATTTATAGAGCATCTACCTCATAGACCTTCAAAGAATCATGGTGAAGGCCTGGGGTAGGAGAGGGGTGCCAGGTGGGGAACATGAATCAATGGGGAAATAAGAGGGACATCTGTAATACTTTCAACAATAAAGATTTTTTTAAAAAAGAATTTTGCCTAGAGTTAAGAAGAGAGCACACTTAATCTAGCCTTGGGATATTTGGCAAGACTCCCTAGAAGAGGTAATACCTAAATTGCATTCTGAAGTATAATCTAGATTAACTGGGCTAAAGGGGCAGGGAAAAGGGCAGGGGAAGTGAATATACCAAAAGGACAGTGTTTTCAAAACAGGTCATTTGCTTCTGATTAATCTGACTGAAACTGGAATTAATTGTTCCAAACTCTCAGAGAAGCTTATTAGATCGTTTAATGTTGCTAGCACTTGTTTGATAATCTGTAATTGAAAAGTATAGACTCATATTTTCTTTTGGTTTCCAGTGACAGGCAAGGTATATTGCTCGAATGCCTGTTTTGCTTAGAAAATTATTTAATTGTATTTCCACATATGGGGTGCCCTAGGTGCAATGAAAATGAGCACCCATATTAGTGATGACAGTATAATGGTGCAACCCTTTTAAGCTACTAGTATTTAACAGTATGTGTTAATGGCCTTTTAAATGTTCATATTCATACCCTTTGACCTAGTAATTTCATACTTTAGAATCTGAAAGAAATAATTTTAAAAAATGAAAAGACTGTAACATCCTTTTGTCTAGCAATAAAGGAAAACATTTATATGGACTATTATATAGCCATTTAAAATTATGTATAGCATGGAGAAAGTACATAACTTTAAAAACAATAAAAATTTGTGCTTATAGTAGAACTTGACAGATTTAACATCCAAGGTTGGTGAAAATATACATTCACATAATTTATTTCAGAGCAGTATGGCGATATATCCCTTTTAAATCCACATACCTTTTTACCTAACAATTATTCTTGTACTGATAAATTACTATATGCTAAAATATTTGCAGTGTGATTATTTGAAGCACTAATTATAGTAAGTCTGTCTCTAATATATATATATTTTTAAATATATATTTTATTAATTTTTTACAGAGAGGAAGGGAGAGAGATAGAGAGTTAGAAACATCGATGAGAGAGAAACATCGATCAGCTGCCTCCTGCACATCTCCTACTGGGGATGTGCCCGCAACCCAGGTACATGCCCTTGACCGGAATCGAACCTGGGACCTTTCAGTCCACAGGCCGACGCTCTATCCACTGAGCCAAGCCGGTTTCGGCCTGTCTCTAATATTTTAAGTGGTAAATAGTTTTTCTTCTAGGAATTAGTCTGAAGAAAATAAAGCTGTGGATAGGTATAAATCTAAGATATATTTATCCCTCTGTTTATAACTACAAGATAATATTAAAATCTCAAATGTCCAACAATAACATATTAATTAAATTATGTGTTCCATTAATGGAAAATTAGGCAGTATTGCAAATCATATTTAGAAGGCTGATGACATCATCCTCTTCTACAACATATATATACCCTCATGCATTACATATATCATATATTCCATTAATGGAAAATTAAGCAGCATTGCAAAGCATGTTGTAGAAGATTGTGATGACATCATTGTCTTCTACAACACATACACACTGTCATGCACACATGCACATATGCATGCACACACGGACCAGAAAAAGAAACACATACACTAAATGTTAACTTTTAAACTTTTCCCCTCCAAATTGTAAGATACAGATGATTTGTGTGTGTGAGTGTGTTTTTAATCCTCCCCTGAGGGTATGTTTTTATTGTCTTTGGGGGAGGAAGGGAGGGAGGGAGGGAGGGAGGAAGAGAAAGAAACATCCATCACTTGCCTCCTGTATACACCCGACCTGGGAACAAACCCACAACCTAGTATGTGTCCTGACCAGAAATCAAATCTGCAACCTTTTGGTACACAGGGTGAGACTCCAACAAACTTAGCCATCCAGCCAGGGATTTATTTTTATTTATTTTATTTTTATTTTCCTTTAATGACCTGTGACTATATTTATCAAATACATAACAACCATGAGTATTTTTCCTTGCTTTTCTTTTTTTAAGTTAATTTTAAGAATTTTAAAAAATATATTTTTATTGATTTCAGAGAGGAAGGGAGAGGAAGAGTGATATAGAAACATCAATGATGAGAGAAAATTTTTGATTGGCTGCCTTTTGCACGCCTTTTACTGGAGATGGTGCATATGCCCTGACTGGGAATCAAACCATGACCTCCTGGTTCATAAGTCAACACTCAATCACTGAGACACGCACCAGTAGACTAAGTTAAATTTATTGAAGTAACATTTGTTACCTGTGTTGGGGTTCTTGGGTTCCCCAAGATAGAAATCGAGAGGAAGCCCCAGAGAATTTTCCAGACATATTTTGTTAAGCTTATGCTGGAGCATAAGAGAGGCAACACAGAGGGAAAAAACGTCCTCTGAACTGGCTTAGGGGCTGGCTCTGCTTAGCTGTTTATAAGTTAGGGGCAAAGCAGACTTATGTGAAAAGGTAGACTTAAAAAAATAGCGGCCTTGGGAATTTTCTCTGTCAGTGTATGAAAAGCAAGAGTTTAGAAGGGGGAAATAAGGCATTTCGGTAGGGAGTAGAGGAATGATTGCATTCTTGTGGTGGGCCTATTTGTGTGTTTTTTTTCTGGACATCAGGAAGTCTTGGAATCCCAGTGAGGGGCCATGGGGTAATAATGCCAGCTCTGTAGGGGTTTTTTGGTGTGGTGTCCTTGGGATCCCAGGCCCAGGTCCCTATGCTCCTCACATTGGTTAATGACAATATGTAAATTTCAGTTGTACAACATTAAAATTCAACATCTGTATACTCTATTGCATGCTCACCACCCAAAGTCCAGTTTCCTCATGAGTATTTTTTTTTAATTAAGAAAAATATTGGGGAAGGGGGTTGGTGAAGGAGAGGACATCTGTAATACTTTCAACAGTAAAAATAAAAATACAAAATAGAAAAATATTAACTCAAGTATAAAGAAAAGACTTGGAGGAAGTACACCAACATTTTAAATAGTAACTGTTTTTAAGTGATGGAAGTAAAGGCAATATTTTGTATATTTTCCTTTAATGGAAAAATTAGTATACTCATTAAAATTTTGTTTTTTAGCTTTATTAAAAGCATGATTGATAAGCAACAGTTAACATAATACAAGTAACTTTTATATAATTAACAAACTTTTAAAACATTTTCTTTTCATTTTAGGCCAGAAATATACATACGGGAGAGTTGGCTGCAGTAAAAATTATCAAATTGGAGCCTGGTATGTATTAAAATACTCATGACAATTTTTTAATACTTTTCTGGTGCCGTTCACAAATATAGAACTTAAAAGCATTTTCCATATTTCCTTGTTTCCCTTCTTCCAAAAGAAATGTTTATATATTGTCAGGGCAATTAGGATGTCTCAAATATGGCTACATTAAATTGCATTGGAGGTTATTAGTTAAAGACAAGTTTGATGTAGTAATTTTGTTACTAAATAAAAGTTCAAATGTGCACATTCAAAAATTGGAAGACACATTGACAATGTTAAAGTAATTGTCTTCTAAGTTATAGTGAAATAATTGAGCTTCGGTATTAACTTCTATGAGAATTTGATTAGGAAAATATTCATTGATTTGGGGGGATATTTGGTAATATTTGGCATAATGATATTTTATATGTTAGCTGTTGTTTGGCTGATTGATTTAGGTTTAATAATTCAGGTCTTAGACTAATGCTTATTTTTTTAACACCTTTTTTCTGTCAGAAGGCTGTTTGTTTTAAAACGTACTGAGTGATTTGCTTTGAAAACAAAAGTACTATATAAGACCTGAAACAATTTTATTATTTTGATATCCTCAAAGTTTTTTTTTCTTAGTAATGGGATCTTTTAAAAAAGTATTCAATTGGTATTGTGCCCAGGTATACCACAATAATTAGAAAATTCAGAAATGTGTAAAGAAGAAAATAAAAATAATCCATTTGTCACCCAGAGACAGCTATTATTGCCTTTTAGTGTATTTCCTCTTATTTTCCTCCTGTGTATACATGTAAACATTTTACAGTATAAACTACATGTACTATATGCTGTTCTTCACCTACATTACATAAAGGACATTACATAATTTTTACATAGGTCAGTAAATATTCTTTTTTTAATTGAGTTATAAGTGACATACAACATTATATTAGTTCCAGGTGTATAGCATAATGATTCAATATTTGTCTATACTGTGAAAGACTCACAATAAGTCTCGTTAATATCTGTCACCATACATAGTTACTTTTTTTTTTTCCTGTGATAAGAACTTTTAAGATTTGCTCTCTTGCCTGGCTGGCATGGCTTAGTGGTTGAGCATCGACCTGTGAACCAGGAGATTGGAGATTGGAGCTTGGTTCCCGGTCACAGCACATGCCCGGGTTGCGGGCTTGATATCCCCAGTGGGGGCCATGCAGGAGGTAGCCAATCAATGATTCTCTCTCACCACTGATGTTTCTGTATCTCTCTCCTCCTCTCCTCTCTGAAATCAATACAAATTTTTTTTTTAAGATTTTACTCTCTTATCAACTTTCAAATATGCAATATAATATTAACTACTAGAGGCCTGGTGCATAAATTCGTGCACAGGTGGAGTCCCTTGGCCTGGCTGGTGATCGGGGCTGATCGGGGTCTTCTCGCCCAGTCCCAATCGGGGCTTATCGGGGCGGCCGGCCTGGGGGAGGGACCACGGGAGGTTGGCCAGCCAGGAGGAGGGACTGCAGGAGGTTGGCCGGCCACAGGAGGTTGGCTGTGGGAGTGCACTGACCACCAGGGGATAATATAATTTGAATCCACAAATTGATCTTCCCAAACCTGCTTTTCCTAGATCAGTCTTCCCCATTTTGCAAGGCAGTTAGCCAAGCCATTGCCTTGATTTCTCTCTTTTGTTTGCGCCCCAGGGTCAGTCTGTCAGCAAGTTCCTTCAACTCCACTTCCAAAACATATCCTGAATCCAACTACTTCTTATTATTACCATCTCCACTCTCTTGGGCTCCCTATTTCCTCTCCCACACTTCCCATCTGCCACCATCTAGTTTCCATAAAACTACCAGAGTGGTCTTTTTAAAACACAAATTTTTGTGCTCTCCTGCTTTAAAACATTTGTGGTGTTTCCAAATCCACTTAGAATAATATTCAGACTTTCAATCTTGCTTATAAAAACCTATATGAGCTGCCCTGTCTACTATTCTGAGCTCATCATGTATCGTTTCCGCTTCCTTACTCTGCCTCTGCTTTCTTTTTATTGAAACAGCCTAGTTGATTGGAGTGTTGTCCCATACACCAAAAGGTTGCGGATTTCATCCCCAATCAAGGCAACTGATGGATGTTTCTCTTACATGGATGTTTCTATCTTTCTAAAAATACCAATAAAAAATCCTCGGGTGAGGATTAAAATTAAACAAAACAGTCCAAGATTAAACTAGCTCTTCTATTCTACTTGAAGTACTACTTTTCATGATCTTTGCTCAGGAGATTCTTGGCCATTCAGATTTCAATTTAAATGTTGTGTCCTCAGAGAGATCCATTTCTGACTACCTAATTTAAAGTAGACACCCAGGCGCTGGTTATTTTAGTTCTCTGCATAGGACATGTGACTGCTTGGTACTTATTTATTTATATATATTTGTTTGTTTAAGGTCAGTCTCTCCTTCAGTGTAAGATCCATGAGAATATTGATCTGTCTTCACTGCCATATTTCAACACCTGGAACAGTATATTCTTTGTACAGATGAATATTATAATTGTCTTTCTGTTGTCTTTACATAAGAATGACAAATTAATATCTATATAATTATTGTATTACACATTCTTCTCCCACGATCAAAAAACCTATAAGCATTTTCTCCCTTGAATACTGTTAGAGAAAATTGTAAGGCCAGCCCGATATTTTTCTTCTTACAGGTAGGTGACTTGTTGCTTCTGCCTGATTGTGGCACCAAGTGCTGCCTGCATATCTTCTCTAAGCTCTGATGTGCAGAAAATACAGCCTTAATCTTTATTATACCTTTAGATTTTTATTCATTTTAATTTTAAAAATTAGTCACCCGAGAAATAAAATGCCAGGTTCTAAATTAGTTTAAGTATATATACTTTTTAGAAAACAGTTTCATTTATTTTCATCATCTGTGCTTTAGAATTGAGGAATTGATCTTCTGTTTGTGATGGTGATCTTATTTATTTGGGTTGTTTCATTACTTTTTTAAAATATATTTTTATTGATTACAGAGAGGAAGGGAGAGGGAGAGAGAGATAGAAATATCAATGATGATAGAGAATCATCAATTGGCTGCCTCCTGCACACTCCACACTGGGGATCGAGCCTGCAACCTGGGCATGTGCCCTTTACCGGAATCAAACCTGGGACCCTTCAGTCCGCAGGCTGATGCTCTATCCACTGAGCCAAACCAGCTAGGGCATTACATTTTAATTGTGGAGTTTTTTCCTTTTGTCTCTTGCCTTTAAAAGAAATGTTTTCTGTATGACCATAGATTTTTACAGGATGGTGTTTTAGCATTTTCAGTAAAGCCAGAGTAGATTGTGTTTTTCACATTTCAGAATAGACCTAAGGGAATGTTTAGATAAAAAATCTGATGGTATGCTAAAGAATTATTTCATCATTCAGTTCAGATATGTCAGATAATTCTAGCGACAGCTGTACTTCAGAAATGAATTCAGCTTTTTAAAAAATTGCACTTAAGCCAGTACATTACAAAAGTACTTCCTTATATTGATTTAACAGATGAGCTGGTTTAGAATTGTTTTTATACATGAAAAGATAATTATTTGCCAGTATGACTTACAAAAAGCCTTATGTCTGATTAATTATAAACAAGACTTTTTTTTTAAATAAATGAAATTGCAGCTATAAACTCAATAATACTTTTCACCCCAGTTAAAAATAATTAAAGTTTATAGTAATTTTAGAGCCTTGAATTTTATTACTGATTTACTGACTTAACCCCTGGCAATTTACATTTATATTATATTTAAAATTTTACTGGAAATTTGCCTTTGAGGCTTTCCCTAATACTCATAAAAATTCTAAAGTGAACATTAACGTTATTAATAAAAATAAATTGGCACAGAGAGTTGGTTTTTTAATTAGTCACAAAAACAGTTGAAAAAGATAAGTCAGCATTCCTTCCTATGTCCTCATGTTTTTCTTACTCTTTTTACACACAGACAAATGATTATTTCTAAGAATGATTTAACCATTTCTGTATTACATTTTAATAGTAGCTGCTTATTAAATATGATACCATCCTACAGATAAGTATGATACCATCTTACAGATAAAGTTTGACATACCAATGATTAGTATTGAAAGTAAATAACGTATATTAGTGATACTGTTTTGATTTTTAGTTGCATTTTCCATCTCTTTGTTCAGGCATCAGAACTACCCCAGAACAGGAGGCAGGTATTATGATGATGTTTATCACCATGTTTTCCTGTCCTTGTCTGAATTTCAGCTAGCCCTCTAACTCAATTTACAGATGTTCATTTGCTCAAACAAGTTTGTAGTTAGTAGCAGCCAATAGCCAGAACAGGAGCAAGATTCTTAGGACAGTTAATCATCAGAATCCTACTTTCCCTTCCCCTCTCTCCTCTCTTCTAATTATTCTTCTTTTATGGTGAAACTATATGATAATATTTTAAAGTTATGCAAATTATAGTTTGTTGAAAACTGAAAGTCTTACTTACAGGGATGGAATTTAATAAAATTACCACCCAGAGTCATTAATGCAGTATACTTTTGCTTGCTTGCTTGTTTTTTTAAATGCTAAATGGAAATAATCATGAAATAGTTCAGTATGTTTAAATAAAATAATTAAACATATTTCATTAGTGTAAACAGTTTTTAAAGAATAAGTAAGAGCCCTGAACGGTTTGGCTCAGTGGATAGAGCGTCGGCCTGCGGACTGAGGGGTCCCAGGTTCAGTTCCGGTCAAGGGCATGTACCTTGGTTGCGGGCACATCCCCGGTAGGGAGTGTGCAGGAGGCAGCTGATTGATGCTTCTCTCTCATTGATGTTTCTAACTCTCTATCCCTCTCCCTTCCTCTCTGTAAAAAATCAATAAAATATATTTTAAAAAAATAAGTAAGAATCTTTAAGTATCTTTTAATAGATGTTTAAAACATTTCTCACTTTTGTTTCCTGGATAAGCACAGAAAGAAGAACAAATTTTTAAAAAGTCAATGTCTATAAAGATTTAAACAGCTGTTAGTTTGCCTTGTTAATGTTCTTCAAAGAAATTCCAAAGTAGGGGCTTTGGCCAAATGGGACAAATGTCAGCTATCCTAGTTAAGTGTTATGTTCTTGCTATTCACTATTTGCTCCTATTTTCAAATCTAATAATTTTGATTTTTAAAAATAATCTGTACAGTAAAACATTAGTATACTAGCTTCAATATTTGGAAAGCTCTAGCCTGAATTGGTGGAAAATGTTAATTTGAGGTCACAAAAGCCCCCAAATATGTTCTTTTACATAATCCTATCTAATAATAGAAAAACATGGTAATTAACCATACCTCCAACACGCTTCCCATTGGCTAATCAGAGCAATATGCAAATTAACTGCCAACCAAGATGGTGGCTGGCAGCCAGGCAGCTGAAGCGAACAGGAGGCTTGCTTGCTCCAGTGATGGAGGAAGCCAAGGTTCCCCGCCTGCCGCTGCCGGCCTCTGAGCTGCACTCTAAGAGACAATGTTGCAATTATAGAAGCTAAACAAACCCCAGAAACCTGCTTTCAGTCAGCCAGGCCTCAGAGCTGGAGCTGCAACAGTGCTTCAATTATAGAAGCCAAACAAACCAAGGTCTCAGAGCTGGAGCTGAGCCTCAGAGCTAAAGCCGGCTCTCAGCTCCAGTGACAGCCATAGAAGGTAAATAAATCAAAGAATAAAAAAAAAAAAAAAAAGGAGAGGTTGGGAGCTTCAGTCACCCGCCAGCCTGAAAACAGCCCTCAGCCCCTTACCCAGACTGGCCAGGCACCCCAGTGGGGTCACCCACCCTGAAGGGGGTGTGACCAGCTGCAAAAGCCATCGTCCCCTCATCCAGGCTGGCCAGGCACCCAAGCGGGACCCGCACCCTGATCCTGGACACCCTTCAGGGCAAACCAGCCGGCCCACACCTGTGCAACAGGCCTCTATTCTATATAGTAAAAGGGTAATATGCAAACTGCCCCTAACAGCGGAAGGACTGGGAATGACTGGTCACTATGACACACACTGACCACCAGGGGGCAGACGCTCAATGCAGGAGCTGCCCTCTGGTGGTCAGTGTGCTCCCACATTGGGGAGCTCTGCTCAGCCACAAGCCAGGCTGATGGCTGCCAGTACAGCGGTGGTGGTGGGAGCCTCTCCTGCCTCCTCAGCAGCGCTAAGGATGTCCGACTGCAGTTTAGGCCTGCTCCCCGCTGGCAAGTGGACATCCCCCGAGGGCTGCCGGGCTGCCAGAGGGATGTCTGATTGCCATCTTGGGCCCAATCCCCCGGGGAGCGGGCCTAAGCCAGCAGGTGGTCATCCCCTGAGGGGTCCCAGACTGCGAGAGGGCACAGGCCGGGCTGAAATTTTGAGTTCACAAATTTTTGTGCACCGGGCCTCTAGTAGATATAGAAACTAATACGGTTAGATATTTCCTGCTATTTAAATAGGTAAAAATCACTCAATTCTAGGGTACTCTTTTTCAGTTAGATTCCAGTTTGTTTTTGAACACAAGATAAAGTTGAAATGTAAATATTTTCTGTTACTATGTAATAGAAAAGCTGAACTACAATGCCAGGTTCTAAATTAGTGAATTTAAAATGGATAGGATTTTTCTCTTTAGTTGAATTTTCAGAATCTAAGGTTGGCATCCCAAAGAAATTGTTTTGCTAGAATTGACTGTCCTATTTATTTGCATTCTTCATTCATTTTGCTCAATTGAAAAATTATTCTTTTTCAATATTGCTTTGGCTGTTTGGGGTATATCCTTCCATTTGTTTGTATTGTCTTTGATTTTTTTCTTCAGTGTCTTAGAGTTTTCTGAGTACAGGTCTTTGATTTCCTTAGTTAAATTTATTCCCAGGCAATTTTTAATTTTGATGGAATTGTTTTCTTAATTTTTTCTGATTGTTTGTTACTGGTATATAAAAATGTACTCTTTTTATACACAGACAAATGATTATTTCTAAAAATGATTTAACCATTTCTGTAGCTTAGAATGCAATCGATTTCTTTATTAATTTTACATCCTGCTACTTTACCAAATTTATTAATTCTAATGCTTTTTGGAGGAATCTTTAGGGTTTTCTATAATTGTACTATGTCATCTGCAAACAACAACAATAAATATTGCTTGTCTTGAATTGGAATCGCACTGTATGTGTTGCTTGAAAAACCTCGGGTTTTTTTGCCTTGGCCATTGTTGCTCATTGGCCTGTGCACCAAACGGTGTCCAGGGCTGGGGTGTGTTTAAGAGGCAGCCAGTCTATTTGTATCTTTCTCTTCTCTCTCTCTCTCTCTCTCTCTCTCTCTCTCTCTCTCTCTCTCTCTCTCTCTCTTTCTTTCTCTCTTTCTCTCTCTCTCTCTCTCCCCCCCCCCATACCCTTCCCCCTTTTTCTTCTTTCCCCCTCCCTCCCTTCCACTCTCTCCAAAAATCAATGGGAAAAGTATCCTCTGGTGAGGATTAGCAAAAACAAACAAAAACTTTTGGATTAATAGTTGCAAATGTGTCCTTGGGTGGCACACCCAGTCACATAGCAGAAGCTAAGATAGTCTCTCACTTTAACTCAAGCTTGAACGAATTCCCACACATAAAGCTCCAAGAAATATTAGCTCAAGAGTCAAAAATCACAGAAGACACAAGGAATTAAGGTGCTTTGAGCAAGAGCCAGCAGAACAGAACTATTAAGACATCAGATTTTGGAATTACATACTCTACATACGATATGATTAGAAAAATAAAAGAATGATTTGAAACTATGAGTAAAAAGTAATAAATTGCTAAAAGAAAGACAAGCAGATTTGAAAAATAACCAAATTGATGTTCTGAAAATGAAAAATAATTATATATTTAAAATTCAATAGATGTAACAAAGTTAGATATAGATTGAATGAAGAAACTATGCAAAATATAGCTTAAGGAAGCAAAAATATGGAAGAATATAAAATAAGTGCAAGATAGAGTGAAAAGATCTAACTTAGGTTTAATTAAGGATACAATTTGACAAAGGCATTTGGAGCATTTCTATTGAAAATTTTTCAGAACTCAGAGAAAACACCAAATATTTAAGAATTTCAACCAGAATAAATAAGAAATGTCCATGTGCAAATGTAATGGTAAAACTGCACAATATTTAAGACAAAAGATCTTTATTTTTTTTAATGTGTTTTTATTGATTTTAGAGAGAGAAGAAAATTGCCGGGAGGGACAAGAGCCCCAAATCGGGCATAATGGAGTGCCAGAATGTATCTAACAACTATAAATTCCCATAAATAATATTTCATGTTAATATAACTTTTTCTTGTTAACTCATATAGGTTTGTGATAGACAGATTGGAAAATGCAAATCTAAAGAAGAAAGCAAAATTATTTTTAATTTTACTTCCCAGACATAAATATGGTGTATGTTTTTAAAATCTTTTTTCTATATACATATGTACTTACATAATTATATAAAATATCCCTATACTTAATATATCATGAACATATTTTCATATCAAAACCTGTTTTTAACTATATTATATCTATAACTATACCATAAGTTATTTAATCATTCTCTAATTGTTAAGTCACACTGTAGAGAACATTTATCTGTATATCTCAAGAAAAAAATTTTTGAAGCAAAATTATGAATTCAAAGATTTTGTACATTATTATGGCTTCTGGTTTTATAGAAAGAATGTACCAGTTTACATTCCCTTTGAAGTATTAAGAATTCCTCATCTCTAATATTTATTGTAAAGTTTTCCATCCTTCTTCCCATATATAGACTCAAAATCTAACATGATGACCAAGTTATTATTTTGTTTTTCAGGAGATGATTTTTCTTTGATTCAGCAAGAAATATTTATGGTTAAAGAATGTAAACATTGCAACATTGTTGCCTACTTTGGGAGCTATCTCAGGTAAAAAAAAAAAAAGCTTCTAATCTCTCTTTGTATTTCTTTGCTACCACTCTCCCTCCCTTTTATGTCAGTGCTGTTATACATATAAATTTTAAAACTTACATTGTCTAAAGTTCTAAAATTTCTTAGGTTCTCTTATTGTTTCCCTTTATATTAATAGTAACACCTCCATTTATGCAATTATGCCTTATCTGGCCACCTTAATGAAATATGAATGATTATAAGTAAGTGTTTTAGCTTATAAAAGTTGTAATATTCCAAACTATGTAAGATGGGAACAATGCTGAAGTCAGTATGTTTTCTGTAGCTTGAAGAGAGATTGCTATACCCCAATTAATTCAGTAAAAAGGAAAAATAAAAATAAAAGAGAGAGTGCCAGGGCAATTTTCTGTTGCAATAATTCATCCTAAATCTTGGTGTACTGAGCCTTCACAGTTGTGAGTGGTTGAGAATTACTAGCTAATATACTTTTCTTTCTCTTTCATATTAGTCGGGAAAAACTGTGGATTTGTATGGAATACTGTGGTGGCGGATCACTTCAAGATATTTACCATGGTACTATTAATTTGTTTTTGTATTTTGAGACTGACTCTGATTTTAATGGTTGTTGTTTGACATGTCTAGTTAACCAGGGATATTAATAGGTAGATTTACTGTTTTACACTCATCTGTTCTGTTTTGGGGGTATTGCATAAAAGAAATTTAAATTTGAATTTTTGTTTATTCAGTTAAATTTGTTGGAGCCTGAACTGAGAAAGTAAGTGTACTTGAACAATCCAAATTTTACTTTTAGATGTAGTCTTTTAGGAAAGTATTTTTTTTTACCAATAAAACTGCCTAAACTTCCTTGTAAGTAAGAATTAAAATGCAAAGGGTAATTCTCTCATAAAATAAATTATGTATCTGTCTTAATATTTTAACCTATCTAGGAAAGCAATTTAGTTGTTACTATAACATTTTTGTTTAGCATTCTGTTAATTTAGGCAGGTTTTTTTAGTTGAATTTGATTTTGCCTCATTATATTATGTAGAGTAGTTTTTCTTTTGTCTCTACAGTTTAGCTTCCAGTTTGTTTTGTTGTTGACAATTTCCTGAATTTCTAGAGTTTATGAGACTAAGCATAGGTCTTTATAAAATAACTTTATTTAACTGGATATAGAATAGTAAAACTATTGCAACCATGTGCTGTATAATTTATTATGTATTTTTAAATATCTAAGGAGTCTTTTTTAATGTTTCTATGCTGAAATCTTTATATTGAAAGCCTTATCAAATTTCATGCAATTTACAGATGCAATTTACAAATGAAACTGTAGTACTTCTAAAAACAAGTGCTATAGTCATTGAAATAATATATGTAGATTGAAGAGGTCAAATTTTTAATTGTCAGTCAATAGAGCAGTGGTTAAATATACACTGCATCTATAATATGGAATACTATGAAGCAGTTAAAAAGATGCAGTAGTTCCATTTATATTGTCTGGGGTATATTGCCCCAAGGACATTTTTTTAAATATATTGTATTGATTTTTTACAGAGAGGAAGGGAGAAGGATAGAGAGTTAGAAACATCGATGACAGAGAAACATCGATTAGCTGCCTCCTGCACACTCCCTACTGGGTATGTGCCCGCAACCAAGGTACATGCCCTTGACCGAAATCGAGCCTGGGACCCTTCATTCCGCAGGCCAATGCTCTCTCCACTGAGCCAAACCAGCCAGGGCAAGGACATTTTTTTAAATGGAAAAAATGAATCATGAAAAAATTTGTATAACATAATCAATCATACTTAGACTTTTTAAAAGTATATGTACGAATGTCAATGCACACCAAAATAAAGGGAGGAGAAGTGGGACTCATAAGTAAAAATTTGAATTATAATATAAATGTATAGATGTCTTATTTAATTATACATTAATAAATATAATAATCTAATTTTATGACAATAAATAAGCCATGACAAAAAAAAGGTTGTGATGTCTAAACTGGCAACTGCCTCTCTTTTTTATTTTTTAGAGAGGGAGAAAGGAGGAAAGAGAGAGAGAAAGAGAGATAACATCGATAGGTTGCCTTCTATACGCGCCCTGAGTGGGAATTGACTCTTTTTATTTAAAATAATATTTAATGCCACATAGTTGCAAATATACAAAATAATCAAGTGTTTAAAGCAAAAACTAATCTCATGTTTTAAAAGAGAAAAATAAGGTTTATTTTTTTATTTAGTAGTCTTTTATTATGTATTATATCATACAAGAATGACTATTCTCTTTTATTTTACCCTGTTGTTGATTTTAAAGAATTATTGATAGAAAATAGCTTATGCCACTTGATTTAAAAGTATTTTCTGTGGCCATGACTGGGTAGCTCAGTTGCTTAGAGTGTCATCCCGATACGCCAAGGTTGTGGGTTTGATCCCCAGTCAGGGCACATACAAGAATCAACCAATAAATGCATAAATAAGTGGAACAACAGATTGATATCTTCTTCTCTCTCTCCCTCTCTTTCTCTCCCCCCCATCTCCCTCTCTCCTCCTCTCCCTCTCTCCTCTCCCTCTTTCCCTATCTCTCTCCCTCTCCCTTTCCGTTTCCCCTTCCTCTCACTCTCTAAAAATCAATAAAAACAAAAACTAAAAGAGTATTTTCTATGACTTTATGAAGAATTACTATCTTTCATATAGAGTTTTTATACAGTAATTATAATTTTTATTCATTGCACTATTACAGAATGAGAACCCAAGAATATGGATAAATAAAACTATATAGTTGGCATTTTTTCATTACTTCTTGTGTTTACAATTAAAGAATTGTTTTTAGACATTAATTTTATCTTCATGAAGTTTCTACTTTCCATTATTAAAATCTGGTATTTGTTGAATTGAATCGAATCTTAAGTAGTATTCATTTCTGTAAATAGTATGTTAGCATAGTAATCAAGAGCCTCTACACTTACAATAAACTGTTAATAAAGTGGCTTTTCTTCTTTTACTATGATTTCCCAGGTTACTAAGAATCAAAAGTTTATGTTTCAGAGTAGGTGTAAGAGAATCAATGATTAAAATGTGCAGTAAAATATTTCTCATAAGATTAAAAGGAAGTACCTCATTTGGTTTCACTGTCAGCACACACCACTCTAGATTTCAAATATTGTGTACATGCAGAAGGATTTTGTATTTCATAATAGGGAGAGATCTGGTTGCCAGAAGTGATCTGCCTGCTTTTTAAACTCTTAGATAAGGTCCTGGATCAAGCCTTTCTATTTTGACAGCTGTAGTAAAGAATTATACTAAAGAAATAATATCTTACCATGGCCTTTGTGGCTCAGTTGGTTGGGTATTGTCCTGTGCACTGAAAGGTTGGCTTCAATTCCAGATCAGGGCACATGCCTGGGTTGTCAGCTTGATCCCCAGTAGGGGCATGCAGGAGGCAGCTGATTAATGATATGCTCTCATCATTAATGTTTTATCTCTCTCTCACCCTTCCTTTCTCTGAAATCAATTAAAAAATTAATAGTAGACTATTTTTAATCTGATGTATTCAAATGTATTACAAGGTGGTCTTTTTTTTTTCCTTTCTAGTTACTGGACCATTATCAGAATTGCAAATAGCCTATGTATGCAGAGAAACTTTACAGGTACTACATTTAGTTTTGTAGTTAAAAGGCAGTTCTCCTTTCACAATTGAAAACTATAAAATAGTGATGTGCACAAAAAAGTTTGAAAACCAATCTTTTTCTGTTAACTTCTCATATTGTAATTCTGTAAGCCTAGTTATTTCTTTCATGAATGATTGATAGGAATTCTTTTAAGCTGATGCTGATATACACAGTGGTCTTTGCCATTTTCCCCCAAAAGAAAATAAATTAGCATAACAATTACCCAGAATGGTGTCTGGAAATCCTAGTTCTGTGTGTTATTAATAAGAATCATTGATAGCTAAATCTGTTTTTATTTTTTGTAAAAAAAATTTGTGAGTTTATTTGAGCAGAATCTTTTTTCTGAAAGCTTGGGAAATATCGTATTATGCAGACGTTTCTTTATTTCAGATCTGTGAGTGCTTTTAATATGTTAAAGTAGGTTGTGAATCTTCCATAGTATACAGTATGCAGCATTTATCCCAATATATCTATCTTTTCAGTGTCCTGAAAGACTACTCATTGAGAAAATTAGCAATTCACAGTTTTGTTCATATATTTTAAAGCATTTAAAAAAGGAAGAGGGTTATTAAGTTGTAGTGCTTGTGTTTTTTATTTTGTTAATTTACAACTGATCATTATTAATTGATGCTTCTATCCTTACATTTCCTAGATTGTAAAGTTTGTTCAGAATGTAATAAATGGTTCTGTGTGTTCTTCCATATAGAGGAGCTTGACCTGATTTCAGAGAAAGCTCTAGTCATTTTAAAAAGATTTGGTTTCCACATGCTTTAAAAGACATACCATGTTAAATCTTACTGTTAGATATATGAAAGGAAATTCCATGTATGTATGTATGTGTATATATATATATATACATATATATATATATATATATTTCTTAACATTCACATAACATAGAAATCTCTTTGTATCCACATACAATACAAAGCTAATCATATTCTCATAGCAAAGAATTATTGACAGATTAAATGTTTCATATTTTAATTTGCAAAGGTCATTGCTTGTATAGTAATGGACAGAGTACAGAATGGAAACAGTAACTTGCATTTGCATTCTTGCTCTGGTTTATGACCAAAATTTCTTCTATAGTTCTAGTTCCTCAAGGATAAAATGAGTCTTTGGAAGGGATGGCCTCCAAGAGTAGTTCCAATTTTAAAATTTTATTATTTTCACTAATTTTCACCTCTGTCTGAATGGTTAAAGAAGGTGTGACACACACACACACACACACACACCACAATATTATCCTATCTAATAAAGAGGGAATATGCTAATTGACTGCCCCACCCTCAAAGATGGCAGCGCCCTCTGCTAATAAGGAGGGAATATGCTAATTGACTGCCATGCCCTCAAAGATGGCGGCGCCCAGTCCCCTCAGCCCTGCTGGGGCGGCAGGCACATGGCAAGGCCGAGCTTACCCCCCGGTGGGCCCGGCTACTCCGCGTGCCTGCCTCCAGAGTCCCCCAGTCCCCTCAGCCCCCCAGCCACCCAGGGCCACCCGAGGCTCAGGTAACCAGGGCTGGCTGAGGCTTGCGCTGCCGGCAGTGGCAGCAGCAGAGGTGTGATGGGGCATCACCTTCCCCTGATCACCAGGACACCTGCCCCCTCTCACAGTCCAGGAGCCCTGCACTGGAGGGGGGTGTCCCCCTCCAGTATAGCAGTATTAACTTTAGTCATCATGCTATACATTAGTAATTAATCAATCTATATGATTGCAACTTTATACTCTTTGGTCAACATCTCCCCATTTTTCTTCCCTAACTTTAGTCATCATGCACTGGAGGGGGGTGTCCCACGGCCTGGCCTTCCCATTGGCTAATCAGGGCGATATGCAAATTAACTGCCAGCTAAGATGGCGGCCGGCAGCCAGGCAGCTTGAAACTAACATGAGGCTTGCTTGCTTCAGTGACGGAGGAAACCAACGTTCCCCGCCTGCCTTGCTGGCCTCTTGATGGGGTCCAACCCCAGCGGGTCCAGGGGTCCCCAAAGGTGTGGATGGAGTCGGCGAAGAAGGAATGACACGGAGACAGTGTTCAGTTGATCAGCAGCCTAGCCAGGATCTCCAGCCAGAATCTCCAGCCAAGTTCTGGTCTGGATCTCCAGAGAGGTTCTGCTTAGGATCTCCTGCCAGGGTCTGTGTCCATGTTCTCTGGCTAGGTTCTCCAGGTTCTGTAGCCATGTTCCCTCGCTAGGTTCTCCAGCCAGGTTCTGTGTCCATGTTCTCCAGCCAGGTTCAGTTACCAGGTTCTAGTCAGGTTCTCTTGCCAATTTCTGTAGTCAGGTTCAGTCCAGGATCTTTTGCCATGTTCTCTCGCTAGGTTCTGTCTCTAGGTTCTGAGGCCAGTTTCTGTCCAGGAACTTTTGCCATGTTCTCTCCAGCGAAGTTCTTCTGTCTCTAGAGAACGTTCTGTGTAGGTTCTGTGCCTAGGTTCCGTCTCTCCTGGTTCCGTATTCTAAGTTCTGTGTTCTAAGTTCTGACTCTTGCTGTCTTATTACATCTGTATTTATACCAGTTGATTCAATCCTATCAATCTCTATTACAAAGGTTAGGGCGTTTCTTATCTCCATTCCAGGGAGTAAAGATTATGTAGCTTAAGCATGATTGTTCGTAGTTAAAGTGATTAATTACCCACCTGGCACTAATTAAGAGGTTTTATTCCCTCCCTAACTTCAGGGGAAAATCCCTACCTGGGGAAACAACCTTTCTCAGAGACCTTGGTTAAAACACATAGTGCCAAGAAGGTGAGCAAACATATTAAGAACAGTATGCCATATATGCCAGGTCCCTTGAAACAGCAAGCATGGACCGGCTCCCGGCAAATTCCCCCTTTTTTATTTTTTAAAAGCGGGCATTAAAAAGAAAAACCCCAAATGCTCTCTTGTATCCATTTTAAGAGTAGGATTGACGCTTTCCGCTATTACCTGAGTCCTGATCTATCACCCCAGGGAGAGCTTGCCAATCCTGCACTTTCCCAGGGTGGAAAGGCTGCAGTGGGGTTAAGGATAAGGCTCCTTGGGCCTACCTTCTCCCATGCCATTACATTTACCTTTCCTTCCTCAGAAAAGCATGGACATATTTCTTGTATAAAACGTTCTGTCTGACTGGGAGTAACCTTAATTCCTCTGCTAGCAAGCATATGTGTTAAAAGATCAATACAGAGTCTTATTTCTTTAGACTCAGTATGGCACATCTTCTTAATCTAAAGATCAATACAGAGTCTTCTTTCTTTGGACTCAGTATGGCACATCTTCTCAATCTAAGTTCTGTACTATCCACCTTCTTACCCTACTTATCCTCTATAGGGGGGTCTGAAGTACCCTGGTGGAGTCCTATCCGTCCCGAATGTGGGGGTTCTCAATGCGGGGGGGGGCCTTACCTAGGGGAATCCTGTTCCAGGGGTTCCCAAAGGTGTGGACGGAGTCGGCGAAGACTATCCACCCTCTTCCTACGGTGGAGTCCTATCCGTCCCGAGTGAGGGGCGCTTACCTAGGGGTCCCTGTTCGGGCGCCAGATGCCGGGGTCCAACCCCAGCAGGTCCAGGGGTTCCCAAAGGCGTAGACGGAGTCGGCGAAGGAGGAATGACGCGGAGACAGCGTTCAGTTGATCAGCAGCCTAGCCAGGATCTCTAGCCAGGATCTCCAGCCAAGTTCTGGTCTGGATCTCCAGCGAAGTTCTGCTTAGGATCTCCTGCCAGGGTCTGTGTTCTCTTGCTAGGTTCTCCAGCCAGGTTCTGTCCAGGTTCTCCAGCCAGGTTCAGTCACCAGGTTCTAGTCAGGTTCTCTTGCCAATTTCTGTAGTCAGGTTCAGTCCAGGATCTTTTGCCATGTTCTCTCGCTAGGTTCTGTCTCTAGGTTCTGAGGCCAGTTTCTGTCCAGGAACTTTTGCCATGTTCTCTCCAGCGAAGTTCTTCTGTCTCTAGAGAACGTTCTGTGTAGGTTCTGTGCCTAGGTTCTGTCTCTCTTGGTTCCGTATTCTAAGTTCTGTCTCTTGCTGTCTTACTACATCTGTATTTATACCAGTTGATTCAATCCTAAAAATCTCTATTACAAAGGTTAGGGCGTTTCTTATCTCCATTCCAGGGAGTAAAGATTATGTAGCTTAAGCATGATTGTTTGTAGTTAAAGTGATTAATTACCCGCCTGGCACTAGTTAAGAGGTTTTATTCCCTCCCTAACTTCAGGGGAAAATCCCTACCTGGGGAAACAACCTTTCTCAGAGACCTTGGTTAAAACACATAGTGCCAAGAAGGTGAGCAAACATATTAAGAACAGTATGCCATATATGCCAGGTCCCTTGAAACAGCAAGCATGGACCGGCTCCCGGCAGCCTCTGAGCTTGCAGTTTGAAACATTGTTACAAATATAGAAGCTAAACAAAACCCCAGAAACCTTCTTTCAGCCAGCTGGGATCTCAGAGCTGGAGTTGATACAGTGTTTTGATTATAGAACCCTAACAAACCAGATACCTGCTTTCAGCAGCAGAGGCCTCAGAGCTGGAGCCAGAGCTAAAGCTGGCCCAGAATTAAAAAAAAAAAAAGAAAAAAAGGAGCAGTTGGGAACTTAAGTTACCCGCCAGCCTGAAAACAGCCCTCAGCTCCTCACCCAGACTGGCCAGGCACCCCAGTGGTATCACCCACCCTGAAGGGTGTGTGACCAGCTGCAAACAGCCATCATCCCCTCATCCAGGCTGGCCAGGCACCCAAGCGGGACCTCCACCCTGATCCAGGACATACTTTAGGGCAAACCAGCCGGCCCCCACCCATGCACCAGGCCTCTATCCTATATAGTAAAAGGGTAATATGCCTCCCAGCACCGGGATCAGCAGAGACGCGAGGCCTCCCGGCACCGGGATCAGCAGAGACGTGAGGCCTCCCGGCACCGGGATCAGCGTGACAGGGGGCAGCGCCCAAACCCCCTAATCGCCCTGCGGCTCTGTGTGACGGGGCGGGGCCACAAACTCCCTATCTGCCCTGCTC